AATTATGAAATTTCATTTCTTGTCGAACTTGTGTATACTTTCACAAATGACAGAATTATAGCTTATGTTTATATTAGATACCGAACTAAACGTATTACAAAACGCGTTCTATTTCTTTAAGGGATGCAGTGCTTTAGATTCCCTCCACTATCTTGTGTGAAGAGTGTGATATTAGAGAGACTAACAAATTATTAAATTATTGGACAATGAAAGTTTCTGGTTAAAATGCCATGTATATTAAAAAATGGAAAAGTACTTTGGGTTTAAAAACAAGGGTTTGGAGAAAACATTGAGGCATGTGTACTTTAAAATGGACAGTGTATATTGTTCCTTTCTAAGGTTCTCCATTCATCAGAGATCATTGATCTGAAGTACAAGAATGGCGTTGCCACCCTAATGATTGCTGAAGCCTTCCCTGAAGATGAAGGTGAATACATCTGTAAAGCATCAAATCCTCTGGACACCATCTCCACCAAATGCAAACTGACCATTCTTCGTAAGTAAAAGATGGACACAGATATAAATTTAGTGCCAGTTAAAGGAACTAGCCTGATCAACTGTAGTATAAAAAATTATGGACGTTATTAATAATCAACGTTAGAGCTAGTGGCTGCGATCCAAAAATTGTATTTGTTTTGCTAAAAGAGATTGTACTGTGGATTAAGATAACACAAAAAAACTGTCTCACTACTGATGTAAGAAATTCCTGTAATCTTGTACACATCAATATTCAACTGTGAAAATAAATCTGAGTGACACTGGCAGAGTAATTCTACATTTTAAAACACTTCATTCGTAAAAGCAGGTCTAGTGTAGTGTAATGGTGTCAGACTGTGAATCTAATGATCCATCACAGCTCACTTCTCATTGTTCATGTCTAGACTATAAATTCAAACCTAGATATAACTCGGGCAGATAGTCTTTGTGTTGCTTTGTATAAATATCCAAGTTAAATTTTCCTAAATTTTAAATACAGATAGACTTATGTGGCCAGGTGGTTAGGGTGTTCGACTCTCAATGTGTGGGTCGCGGGTTTGAATCCTAGTCCCACCAAACATGCTCGCCCTTTCAGTTGTGGGGGCATTATAATGTGATGATCAATCCCACTATTCGTTGGTAAAAGAGTAGCCCAAGAGTTGGCAGAGTAGCTGCCTTCCCTCTAGTCGTACACTGTCAAATTAGGGATGGCTAGTGCAGATAGCCCTTGTGTAGCTTTGCGTGAAATTCAGAAAACAAACTTATGTAACGTATGTTTATATATTTTAATAAAAGCATCTGTAGGTCATTTCTCACTTAAGTGTTTACCATGTAATAATATGTATTAATTACCAGTTTAATTACTTGTAAAATAATAGAATGAATGGGAGCACTTTTTAACATTGCAAGACTAGGTGCATGGTGGTATATTACTCTTTAAATTGGCCTTCTCTGATGCTTGTTGATATTTCCATGTGATGCTAGAAAGACTTGAAACAGGTGACCAGTGTTTTATCCTACCTTTACCGAGGTTTTAAACTGTTAATGTTTAATGATTTGGGTAGTTTGCTATTCCACTGTTTTCAAGGATTATGGACTGCATTGTATACTGATTGCTAGTTTACTTAGTTTTCACTTTCATGAAATTTTGTTGATCATTTTATATGATAATTACTAAAACATAGGTCGTTTATAAAATAGTTTCATAAATCACCATGAAATGTTTAGTTTCATTATAAAATTATCCTTGAAATACTGTTTTACTAGTTTCCCGATAAAATAGTATTTTAATTGAACCTCATATTAAACTACAGAGTCTGAAAGAAGGTTATGCTTTCCAGACAAATTTCAAGACTAACATTTTCGCTAACCTTGGAATTTTCTATTTGAAAGAGAGAATAAGGCCATTGTCATAAGGACTATATACGTAGTGCCAAGTGGACTACTGTGTAAGGAAGATGTGTCACTCTCCTGTGGTGGAGGACTATATACAAAGTGCCAAGTGGAGTATTGTGTAAGGAAGACGTGTCACACTCCTGTGGTGAAGGACTATAGATAGTCTAATGCTGATTGTATCACAGTGCACACTACTACTTGTAGGGGCAGAAGATTCGTTCAAAGACTTGGTGAATGTGGGAAAACCTTTTGGCAGTGGCACAAGGTAATAGCTACCTTTTCTGTGGATAGGTGAGTAGCATGCTCTGAAATAAAAGATCATTAAACAGTATAACTCCATACATAATCAACTTTATGAAAAAAACCTACACTTCATGTCCAATACTTTTAGTCTTAGTGAAACATTACACTATGTTAGTGACCTACTAGATAATGTTAAAAAAAACATATCCAAAAGTACTGGTGCACATTACGTAACTAAAAAATTAACAGAATTAGAAACGTATGTCTAATAAAATGAAGAAAAAAATCCAATGTGTATCATCTCATTTAAGTTTTTTTACTGTAAGAAAAGCATGATATATACATCCACTGAATGGAAAAAATTGTTACTGACCCCACCACAGGAGTGTGACACATCTTCCTTATACACAGTACTCCACTTGACACTTTGTATATAGTCCTCCACCACAGGAGTGTGACACATCTTCCTTATACACAGTACTACACTTGACACTTTGTATATAGCCTTGACTTTACGATAGAGAGGTACAAATTTTAAATTTGACTTCAGTTAAATTTTTATATTTTCTTATATCAGCTTGATTTCTCTTCTTAATGAAACCACATGATTTTGGGACACATGTTCCAGAAATATTTCTCATCAGTGTTAACCCTGTGTTAGGGTTTCTGCAATTAGTCTTGGTATTATTAATACAAGACCAGAAATATTTCTCATCAGTGTTAACCCTGTGTTAGGGTTTCTGCAGTTAATCTTGGTATTGTTAATACAAGACCAGAAATATTTCTCATCAGTGTTAACCCTGTGTTAGGGTTTCTGCAGTTAATCTTGGTATTGTTAATACAAGACCAGAAATATTTCTCATCAGTGTTAACCCTGTGTTAGGGTTTCTGCAGTTAATCTTGGTATTGTTAATACAAGACCAGAAATATTTCTCATCAGTGTTAACCTTGTGTTAGGGTTTCAGCAATTAATCTTGGTATTATTAATACAAGAATGCCAAATTGTAACACATGAAAAAATAATAACAATAAATTATTGATTGGCATGTTGAAGACAAGCAGTTGTAATCATGGAAAGCATGCAAAAAAAAAGAAATATATAAATAATGATTGTATTAATACTTTAAATGAATACATTTCAGTAATCTTACCAAATACAAATTTTCATAGGCACCTTTCTGTAATCTCCTTCACAGGAGTTGTCTTATTTTTCATACTTCCATTGTACATTAGGTGGTTGGTTCTATCCTACCTTTTTTTATCTTAAGCCAAAGACTCTTGGTCTTCTGCTTTTCTCGTTTTTTCTGTGCCAGCATTGTCTTTGAACAACTTTGACTAGCTCTTCCCACAACTTACTTTTCTTTCTGATTCTTCTAATCCCTAACAAGGATTAGATTACCAGCAACCTTTGTCCTTCACTGCTCTGGTAAGTTATGATTCTTCTATCCCTAACAAGGATTAGATTACCAGCAACCTTTGTCCTTCACTGCTCTGGTAAGTTATGATTCTTCTATCCCTAACAAGGATTAGATTACCAGCAACCTTTGTCCTTCACTGCTCTGGTAAGTTATCATTCTTCTATC